AAAATGACAGAAAGAACAAAAGAAAGAAAAACCACTACCATCAAGTTCTTACTCGTGTCAATCATAGATAGACTTTCCAAGGCTGTAAATCTTTTGGGGGAACAGATAGCCTCATCTTTTCCCCTAAGAGTGCCTGGTGGGTTTGAACCACCAACCTTGAGGTCAGCAGTCCAACGTTTACTCGACAGAGTTCATTTTGGGCTATCCATCAATGGTTAACAAGCCAGGACTGGTTGCAGGCGAGAAAAAGTGCTCAGCCATGGGGGTATAATTTAAGGCTGTTTACCCATAAGAATAGCTGATACAGGATACTCTGTAGTCTCGTTCTGTTTGATTCCATTCCATGGAAATAAAAAGTATGTCGTACACACTGTGGAAGAATTGTCTTGCAAGTTAAGGCTTCCCCCTTTATTATAAGACTATAAATAAAAACTGATTTTATCCTTAAAAAAAAGAGTAGTTGGTGCACTGAGTGCAGCATCCTCCTTTACTAATGTAGAAAGTATACATAAGTTTAAGTGGACAATTTGCCACTTCAGGGATGAATTCCATTTCACTTTAAATTATGCAAAACCAGAGAGCACACACCATTCCAAGACATTGCTTCTTTGACTAATATTAATAAGTAGTTACTTAAGACACCTATTTGCATCATTTGGGAACTTCTTATAAATACAGACTCTTTGGTTCATCTGAGAGCTACTGAATCATCTTCAACTCTTGGGGTGGGCCCTAGTAATCTGTGTTGTAACAAGCCTCCTGGAGATTCTCATGTGTGATAAAGTTTGATAGCCACTATCCTAACTAACACATGCATACCAGCTTGGTGAGACTTCCATCCTTCACTTGAGACAGGTGACCAAGAGAGACAATTGGCTGAACAAGGGCATCATGCACGGTAAAATAGAGGACCAGCAAACGTGAGGGAGACCTTCAATGAGATGGACACAATAGCTATAATAATGGGCATAACCATACCAATAGTTATCCAGATACCCCAGGGCCCAGCAATGTTTCTTTCTGTTAAATGTGTCCATGGATCCAAGTTGACTCAATTGCAAATAACTGGTCCATAGCAACGGAGCCGTAGTGGTCGAATGGGTTTCACATTGGATTGCTCACTGTAGAGTTGGTAGTTTGAAAGCACCGCTGCTCCATGGGAGAAAAAAAAAAGAGGCTTTCTACTCCTGTAAAGATGTATCGTCTCAGAAACCCACAGGAGCAGTTCAACTCTGCCCTATAGGGTTGGTGTGTGTCTGAATGAAGTTGATGGCAGCAAGTTTGTTCTTGAGAACATAGCAGGGTGGCGATAGCTCTTCAGAGAGAGACAGCTTGATGGGGTACCTAACAAGGTCCAAAAGACAGGACTTTGGGGCATGTGGACGCAGGCCATAATTTTATTTTGGGGGGACCTTACGGCATCTGAAGACAGTTCAGAGAGAGTGGCCAACAGAGCCTAGTAAGGCTTGCTTCGGTCATGTTCTATAATAAAGCAGTGTACTTGAGGAGATGCTCATGGGTTGTGTATAAATGCAGCAGAGCATTGCCATTCAAAGGGCTCCAGATTACATAAAGCAACGTTCTAAAATGCAGGTGGCCATGAAGCAAGTGCTTCTGATGCTTCTGCTCTTGATTTAACCGGCAGCCACTCGTACAGCTTGGAATTGGATGGCTCGCAATTCCTTACAAAATAGTAACTGTCGTTTTTCAAGTTAATACCGCAATAGGCATGTCTTAAATTATAGCCTCTTCACACGACAGGTTGCTCCATCTACTGCATTACTGTTGGGATCAGTAAGGTAAGAGATCTGACGATGTATCTTGTCAGCCATATTTGATGCAGGGCCATTAGAGGAACACATGGAGGGCAGGAAGACGATGTCATATCTGTCAGTGGCATTAGAATGTGACCTTGGCTCAGTGACAGCATTAGAAAGGGGACCTTTGTCTCGGGGAGGAGATGAGCCAGTCAGGGTGCGATGTAACAACAATGAGAAATACAACTTTCCTCTAGTTCCTAAATGTTTCCTCCCTGCTCCCACTACCATGACTTGAATTCGACCTTGCAA